CCCTCTTTCGGCCCACCCGGTCGTTCACTAGCCTGGCTCGTTAGTGGCCACTCTTGCTGCGGAGACAATTTGTGTGTGTCTGTCGGGGGTGAGGGGACCAAGAGGTCAAGGCATTGATAAAGGCAGATGATAGGTGATGATGCAAACCTTGGCATGTGTTTATATCAATGGATTCGACGTCTTTCAAACCAGCCGTCCTCCCCGTGCAGTATTGTTGTCCTCAAAGCAAGGCACCTTCTTTTTGAGATGCAAATGAACTGCTGACTGTGGACCCGAGCAAACTGCTCTCTGATGTTGTGCCATGTGTGTGTGGAGGGGTTGCTTGGGCTCGACAATGTCGAGGTCATCGCTCTCTTCTACCCAGCATTGAATTGACAATGCTGAGTTTGCTCATTTAGAACTGAAGAAACCTTGTGGATGAAAGGTGGAACGTCTTCGATTCGATCTTTGCGGAACACGAATCACTTTTGCTTTGTTCTTGTCATGTTTTTTTTAAAAACATTTTCAGTGCTGTCCCAACACTCCTTTGTAAGAATCAAAGCATCATAAGTTATCAAATATATTTCTTCCAGCTCTGAAACTCGCCATGTTTCAAGGATGGTAACCCATGACGACAAATATCCAATTATAAATGCCTTAAAAAGTGATTTACCATGTCAGTCCATGTGTCTTGGTGTCTTTCAGGAGTGGGATGGAGGTCCTGAGCGGGCCCTGGGCCGACCTGGCTCTGTTCCTGAGACAGACAGTCACACGGACAGACAGGGAGACGGACAACTTCCTACAACTGTGCCTGTTCGGCCTATTTGTGTCTGTTTGCATACTCTTGTTGCAACTCGTGGTCTATCTCCATTGGAAGCTCAACCAGGGTAAGCGCAGAATAATGTCCCAATATTTTAGTCCATAAAGTGCTGCCTTCCTTTCGCTAACACGAAATGAAATTTGGCGGACAATGATGTAACAACCAACCCATTATTTATATTATAAACGATTATCAATTATTGTGAAGTGTGTCAATCTATACTTTTAAGAAGTTCAGAACAGCCCAAATGACCTCGATCTTAAGAGTTCAAAGTTCAACCAATTAGGTTCATCACAATTCCGCATCGAAAGCGTTTATATTTGGTTCCAAGTCATCAATAAGCTCCTTTATACCCACGTATCGACACTCTTAGGTGGATTTATTCACTGCGCTAGCCAACGCAGGCAAACGTAAATGTAAATTAGATTAGAACTTAATCGCGACGCATAAAACTGTACAATTCAGTACTTCGGTAAACTGACTTTGTGGTCAGAAATTATATTTTTGAGGGCATATTGACCATGTTGGACAACTGGAAACCACAAAGCAATGTTTTTAAAAATGTACTTGCGTAGTTTGTTGACGAATTGACGGAGATGGAAATGGGTTAAAGTCCCCAGTCGATGACGTAGGCAATTGAAACGGACGCCATGGTTACCATTTAAGAATGTTGGCAAGTAAAAATCCACAAACTCGTGCGACAAAAAGTATTTTAATATACTATGTATTACGGTCATGATTATAATCTAACTTAAAATAAATCTATTCAATTATAAGAAAGCAAATTTTTGTTATTTTAATTGCACTTCCGTTGTAGAGCCGGTGAAACGCGCATGCCCAGATCAACTTGCAATTCAGCGTTACCTTCAAAGGCATAGTTCTGACGTAAAAAGTGGTGTCAGTACGCCAAGCAATACTGTAATACCATTTTATATTGTTGCTCCGTCCGCAGTGGAAGCTGATCTGACGGGGTTTTCACACGACACGAGCGCCATCTTCAGGCTGGTCCACCGCAATGTACAGCAGGAGAAGAAGCATCGGCGCGCATGCGTACACCAGACAACCTTGGACTCTTAAAATACGGAGCAAGAAAGGAACACACCTAAAAGAGTATTACAATCCTTTATTTTAACTGTTATACAAGGACTTGATTTGTGTGTGTTTGCAGGGGTGATACAGGGCAATTAAGTTGCTGGATAGAAAGAATCTGGACCACTCAGGAGCAATGGGGCTGCCTGTTAACTTCCCAAATCCTTGTTTTTTTTCTGTGTGAATTATTTTTATTTTATTTTATTTTTTTGGGGTGAGGGGCACAAAATAACGCTGCAGCTGGTCCGAATAAATGGAATACACACACACACACGTAACATACACACACGCATGTGTATTAAGGCAGCATTGAGTGACTTTGTGACACCGCGTTGGTTTCAGGAATTTTGGTAGCTCAAATATAATATTACCAGAATTTGCAGCCCCACTGCTCCATTTATACTGCAACCTGCAACTCAGAGTGAAACAACATGTCAATTGTTGTGGGGTTTAATCCCAAAAAAGAAAAAAAAAAATCCGCTCGGCAACATTACAAAAATGAAAAAAAAATGGACCACATAGTCACAGAGAAAATCAAATGTGGGCAGAGTAAAGCTACAGATAGAGTTGTGACATCATATGCATCAAAAAAGACAGAAGTGAGAAATCAATATTTTCCGGCTTCTTCCTCCGGTGGAATGTCATGACCGTACATCGCAGTTAAGACCAGTGTTTTTAAGAAAACTCCATTGTTTAAAAAAATAAACATTGGATTAAAATATTTCACCTTTTAGAAGATTTGGTGTGGAAAAGTGTATCAATTTGAACAAATCCAATTTTTAAAAAGTTTCCAGTCTAGACGGGTGGAATGTTTTTTTTTTTTTATCCGACACAATGCCGCTGCTGTTGAAAATGTGTCACATAGGGCATCTCAAATCATCCGATATACATTCTCTGTTGCCTCCAAAAATCAGCGTGTTCCAAAGAACTGCACAACCTGTCCGTAGCCATCTTTAATAATGAGCCTAACCTACATAAACTCTACGTGGATGTCATCTCGATGCTTACAAACTCACGCTGCGATACCTTCATGGTCCACAAGATGTGCTTTCACATTAAAACAACTTAAAAAAAAAATCTCCCAATCAAGCCTGCACCCCCTTCACGGGTACAGGAAAAGTTGTGTCTGCTATCACCTTATCTGTAGATAAGTCAGTTGTAGCCTAAACCCGTTCACATTTAGTATATAAAAAAAAAAAAGATTGAAAGCTTTGTATCAAGTGTATGTTCTTTTTACGGCTTATTTTTTTCTTTGAAAGTGAGGACTGAAAACCGGAAGAAACTTTGAGGAATGAAAACGAGTGGTTGGTATATGTCACCACTTGTTTGTACCATTAGTATGTGAGTGTTTTGGTTTGGGTTATGATTATGTTTATTGATGTGAGGGAAGGCGCCGCACTATTCACATTAGAGCAGGGGTGGGAAGATATTGTGTTATGAACATTAAAAAAAAAATAATGTGAGATTTTTTTTTTTTTTAAATATTTTTTTAGATTAAAAAAGTATTTTAATATACTATGTATTACGGTCATGATTATAATCTAACTTAAAATAAATCTATTCAACTATAAGAAAGCAAATTTTTGTTATTTTAATTGCACTTCCGTTGTAGAGCCGGTGAAACGCGCATGCCCAGATCAACTTGCAATTCAGCGTTACCTTCAAAGGCATAGTTCTGACGTAAAAAGTGGTGTCAGTACGCCAAGCAATACTGTAATACCATTTTATATTGTTGCTCCGTCCGCAGTGGAAGCTGATCTGACGGGGTTTTCACACGACACGAGCGCCATCTTCAGGCTGGTCCACCGCAATGTACAGCAGGAGAAGAAGCATCGGCGCGCATGCGTACACCAGACAACCTTGGACTTAAAATACGGAGCAAGAAAGGAACACACCTAAAAGAGTATTACAATCCTTTATTTTAACTGTTATACAAGGACTTGATTTGTGTGTGTTTGCAGGGGTGATACAGGGCAATTAAGTTGCTGGATAGAAAGAATCTGGACCACTCAGGAGCAATGGGGCTGCCTGTTAACTTCCCAAATCCTTGTTTTTTTTCTGTGTGAATTATTTTTATTTTATTTTATTTTTTTGGGGTGAGGGGCACAAAATAACGCTGCAGCTGGTCCGAATAAATGGAATACACACACACACACGTAACATACACACACGCATGTGTATTAAGGCAGCATTGAGTGACTTTGTGACACCGCGTTGGTTTCAGGAATTTTGGTAGCTCAAATATAATATTACCAGAATTTGCAGCCCCACTGCTCCATTTATACTGCAACCTGCAACTCAGAGTGAAACAACATGTCAATTGTTGTGGGGTTTAATCCCAAAAAAGAAAAAAAATAAATCCGCTCGGCAACATTACAAAAATGAAAAAAAAATGGACCACATAGTCACAGAGAAAATCAAATGTGGGCAGAGTAAAGCTACAGATAGAGTTGTGACATCATATGCATCAAAAAAGACAGAAGTGAGAAATCAATATTTTCCGGCTTCTTCCTCCGGTGGAATGTCATGACCGTACATCGCAGTTAAGACCAGTGTTTTTAAGAAAACTCCATTGTTTAAAAAAATAAACATTGGATTAAAATATTTCACCTTTTAGAAGATTTGGTGTGGAAAAGTGTATCAATTTGAACAAATCCAATTTTTAAAAAGTTTCCAGTCTAGACGGGTGGAATGTTTTTTTTTTTTTTATCCGACACAATGCCGCTGCTGTTGAAAATGTGTCACATAGGGCATCTCAAATCATCCGATATACATTCTCTGTTGCCTCCAAAAATCAGCGTGTTCCAAAGAACTGCACAACCTGTCCGTAGCCATCTTTAATAATGAGCCTAACCTACATAAACTCTACGTGGATGTCATCTCGATGCTTACAAACTCACGCTGCGATACCTTCATGGTCCACAAGATGTGCTTTCACATTAAAACAACTTAAAAAAAAAATCTCCCAATCAAGCCTGCACCCCCTTCACGGGTACAGGAAAAGTTGTGTCTGCTATCACCTTATCTGTAGATAAGTCAGTTGTAGCCTAAACCCGTTCACATTTAGTATATAAAAAAAAAAAAGATTGAAAGCTTTGTATCAAGTGTATGTTCTTTTTACGGCTTATTTTTTTCTTTGAAAGTGAGGACTGAAAACCGGAAGAAACTTTGAGGAATGAAAACGAGTGGTTGGTATATGTCACCACTTGTTTGTACCATTAGTATGTGAGTGTTTTGGTTTGGGTTATGATTATGTTTATTGATGTGAGGGAAGGCGCCGCACTATTCACATTAGAGCAGGGGTGGGAAGATATTGTGTTATGAACATTAAAAAAAAAATAATGTGAGATTTTTTTTTTTTTTAAATATTATTTTAGATTATGTAGCTTTCTCCCCCCACCACTACAGGGGACAGGCTGATACCAAACTTTTCCCAAAATGTGAAACTTTAGTGTCTAGTTTAATAAATGATAATGATAATTTTTCATGACTTATAAAAGCACCCCGTCTTTGTATTCTTGTCTCATTTATGTCCCCCCCAAAAAATAAAAATTATAATAATAAAATAAAAGCACTATGGAAAAACATCAAAAAAGAAGTAAAAACATGCTACGAATATTAAGCTAACAATGTGGTTCTTTTGCTCCCTCAGAGTGTGTTATAATTTTCTTGATTGTTATTTTTTGGGGCGGGGGTTGAGAATTGGTTGTCTTCTTCTTGCGCCTCTTCTGTCAGTCAAGGTCCAAGACAGTGGTCGCGGGAGGCGGAGAGGTTCTTGACATCTCCGACGGGCCCTTCAGCTCTGCATGTAAGAGAGGGGGGGTGATAGTTTCTTGCTGTAGATTACTGCTTTCCAACTGTTTTGACCCATTTTCCTACTGGTGGTAATTCACGACCCACTGGACACTGTTTATTATCCTCTAGCAAACAAAAAAAAACAATATTATGACAACTAATACCTGAGTTGCGTCAATCCTCCTCTTCGGCCAGTTCGGTCTCTTTATGAACAACCACTCTGGTGACAGACATGTCAGGATGTTGCTCTTTGGCCTCCTTAATGGCCTGGGCCAGAGCCTGCAGTAGCGTAGCATGGCCACAAGGAGGCGGCGGCGAGCACGAAGCAGCCGATGTAACAAACCGAGGGAAAGTGAAACAAAATGGGAGAAAGAAAAAAAAAAGACAACACAAAAACAAAGAAAATGACAACGGAAGCCAAAATGTGCCATCGCTATGACGTGCGCCATTTCACGTTTGAAAATGGCCAGCGTGGACATCGGCTAGGAACATTTCAAAAAAAAAGCACATTCCAAATTAAAAAAAATAAAAAAATGCTGAATATGTTCTATGTAGAAATGTAAGATGCCGGAATGCGCTTACATTTGCTCAAGGAATAACAAAGCAATGGCGGGGCAGATGCATGCAGATCTCAGCATACCGTATTCAATCAAATGGTGGCAATTATTTATTCAACTCCAGACTTCGCGGGGCATAACACTAGCATTTTTGGAATACAATAATATAGGGAGCATACATTGTACAGTAGAATGACCTACAATAGGCAAAAAGTGACCTTATGAATTTTTTTTTTTTTAATAAAAATTGTGTTCAGTCTCAATATTTTAGAAATCATCGAGGTCAAATGGGCTGAGTGGTTGCAAACGACAGCGTTTCGTCAAATGAGGTGACTAAACATTTGTTACTGATGGGAGCAAGGTAGCCCAGTAGTGAGTATGCCTGCCTCACAGTTAGGAGGTTCCGGGTTTGAATGGAGGAATAGCCACTTTCTGAGCAAATACGGTATTTTCTTTCGCTCGCAGCCCACATGAATATGGAATAGGATTCAAAGGTAACGGGCAATCAATGTGAATCTTTGGTCAGCAAGAGCAACATGCTCCACATGTCGCCGGCGGCGTTTCGACCATGAACCGCTCAGACGACAAACCTTTTTTCGGTAGTTTTGTTTCAGAGGACTTTGAACGCAGAACGGTATCAATTAAGGCCATTCGGGAAAAAAACACTTAACACTGACCTCGTCGTGGTCGATGTCGCAGTCGCCGGTGATGACGATGCGTTTCTCGATCCTCGTCTCCGACAGGCCGCCCTTTAACGTCTGCAATGGCACGTTGCACAGTTACATTAAACCCTTTTCACGCACCCTGGATTCCTTGATAACGTGGCAAGCTGTCCACTGGAGTAACCGCTGTACCTGAAAGGGGTTAATACCCAGTTTTCGAATTCACGGTCACTTAAAATGTGTGTTAGAGAAGTGATTTATGCCACCACAGTGTAAAAGTACAATCACGTGTATGTGCGTGTGTGTGTGTGTTTTCACACCTTGGTGATGTGCGTGGTGGTGGTGGTGCATAAAGATTCCGAGGTGATTGTCTGAGCCGTCATCAGAACTCCGGGCTCTCCGTCGCCGCTTCCGTCCAGCTGGGAAAAAAAATAGTGTGAGGAAAAAAAAACAAAAAAACCAAAGAATGATTTCTATTCCTCCTTAACAACTCTTTTCCTGCGGGTGGAAAAAAGGGAATGAATCTGTCATTTGCATTGTCCAGGGACGAATCAAGCCTTCAAACATGCACACGGGATGACGATCCGCCTTCGGACATGCACCTGTGCGGCCTCGTATGTGATGGTCTTGGTTTCCGTGTGCACGATGGGCACTTCCTTGGTCGCGATCTCGGTCTTCTGCGCCGCAAACGTGTCCGATATTGTCACCATTTCTGTCTTAACCACGGGGGGCTGGTTAGGGGGAACGACAGAGAGATGGAAGGAGGGTTAAGACATTAAAAGAAAAATTAGCTTGTTAGGAAGGACAAACATTGTTTGGGAGTGGGGACGGGGGTGCGGGGGGGGGGGGCACTTCCTATTCAATATATTAAACACGGCCTTCTTCACAAAAGCGCTGACCTACATTTACAACTAAAAATTGGTTCCATTAAGTTCTATACATTCACTTAAAATTATTATTAGTTTTTTATCCAATTAGATTTCAGCCCCTTTGTGTTGCCGAGTTAACTTAATCTACCCAAAGCCTTCAGAATCATTGGGAGTGCTGGCCAAAGGGACAGCGGTTACTACAATGGACAGTTTATCATGTTATCAGGTTATTCATTATTGGTGCATGAAAAGGGTTAAACTTTATTAGCAATGGGTCTTCTTTTAGTACAGTGGTACCTCTACTTATGAACATTTCTTCATACAAAATTTTCAAGTTACGAAACGTCTCAACAGGAACATATTGCCTCTTGTTACGAAAGAAATTTCAAGATACGAGAGGTAAAAATACAGTATGGGCTGCTACTCACAGCTCCGAGTATCTTGAACGCAACATACTCTGCCATTCGCAATTACCTAGCATCTTCATTAGACATTTATGTCTGAGTTTTTGGGGGATCTTGGAACGAATTAGGGCATTTACATGGAAAACGCGTCTCGACTTACAAAATTTTCTAGTTAAGAAATTTCTTCCAGAACCAATTAACTGCGTGAGTCGACGTACCACTGTATCAGTTATTTAAATTGTGTTACTTTCTGAGAGCGCCATTGATCCTATTGAATGGGAAGCTTTCCCTCACAACAACCCACCATACAAACATTCACACACTTCACAATTGTAGCAAAGCAGAGCCGACCCAAGCCAACCTCGCAGAAGCTTAAAATCAATTTTCAAATTCAACAATGCATGATCAATAACGTGGCAGAAATAGAGGTCCTTAAAAATCAAACATTTTTGGAGTGGGCAGACTCTGCTTATAGAGAACATCATGAAACACAACAAACGCAGGATTGAGAGCAGCAAAAACAAGCAGCAAAATCTTTGGTGTCGACATGCGGGGCGGTGAAAAAATAAAAAAATAAATACAGAACACGCACCAACCAAGTGTACACACAACATGCAAAGATGACATTCAGCCGAGTGGGCGACAGTTGGCTGGTTGTCGCCGATGCGTTGCTATAGCGACAAGCCAGTTGACCACCGGGCGCCACTGGCCTAATGTGGGAAGAACATGCGACACATGCACAGGTACGCCGCCACATGATCAAACACCGCACAAAGACTGGCCTACAAACAAGCGTCACGCACTCAACATGCCCCGTTTGACGTCACGACACACAAGTGCACGGCGGCAAGCGATGCGGTGAACGCAGCGGATAGATAAGCCCCTTTTACACCCTTCACAAAAGCCAGGGGAGGACGGCGGAAAGTATCAGCGCCGTAACGGACGCGGTTGTCCTGTTGGTATGCGTTGTTGCTCCGTGCGTTCAAGCAGCAGTTGTTTGAAAGTTGAAATTCAAGTCAAATCTATGCTAAGTTGCATTAGCCAGTCGATGGTGTTTCACATTATGTTAGCATGAAGCAATCAGACTTTCGTTCGATGAAATTATATTAATAATTCTGTGTTTGGATAGAAAATGTTCAATTCATTTTGTTGAAAATGTGAATGTTACGGGAAACTACAAAAACTGATTTTGAATAGGTTTAAATTTGTTGTGAAGGGGTAAAAAAAAATATTTTCAAAAAGTTTTTTTAAATCTATTTCGGGGATTTGTACAGGTATATGTTGTGTGTGTGTGTGTGTGTGTGTGTGTGTGTGTGTGTGTGTGTGTGTGTGTGTGTGTGTGTGTGTGTGTGAGATAAAGTAGCAGTTGCTTGAAGGCCTCTAATTACCATAACATCAATGCTAATCTCCGACTGTGAGGCTATTGCATTTTGAGTCCATGTTAGCATTAAGCTAACTGCCTTCTATGGTTTATGTAAACATTTTGGTGCTCGCCTTTGTTTTATATGTCAGTTTTAAAATAAACCACAATTGGAAGTGACAAACAGCTTGAAGCAAGCACGCAGGGCCTCAATGTGCGAGTGAGAAGTCTCGTTCGAGTCGCCATCGAATCCTTCAAAAAGTGTGCTTTAATAAGTTTCTGTGTGTTTTAATGAGTTTAAATGCCGGGGCATCTGTTAAGTCTCTGACAAGGCAATTTTGCTGGAACCGTGTGTTATAAAGGTTACTGTCACAATAACATAACTTAAAAAAAAATGTGACTCTGAAAGGACACTTTTTTTTTTCTTCTTTTTCCTCAAGATTTGAAAGAATGCACACGGTGCCTAAATGTTGACGCCAAAGCAGGAAGGAGAGCGACACGGTTGGGAAGCGGGAAGGAAAAAGCGTGTTTCGGCGGGGTGTGGGGGTTTTGATGAGCCCGGAAGCTCCGCAGGTGGTAGCCCCCTGACTTTACCTGAGAGCAACAAATAACCTGCGGACGCGCGTCCACCACCGTGGCCTCGCCGTTCACTTTGGGCACTTCCTCTTCGTGTACGGGAGCCACTGGCCGGGCGTCGGCCTCCGCGTGCTGGGTTGGACCATTGGGAGCTTCGCCGGGGGTCACCGTGGCTTCTTCTACTTCTTTCTTCTCTTCCTCTGGATTTACAGATTGGGCGGTCTGGCTAACCTCCGTCAACTTCTCCTGCTCCTCTTCCTCCTCCTCCTCCTCTCTCTCCTCTGGAATTTGAGTGTGGGAGATGGACACGGACACGTTGGGGTGATATTCCGCCTCGTCCTCGCTTTCGCTCTCTGACGAAACGCTCTCGCGCTGCTTCATCTTCTTCTTCTGCGCGGCCTCTTCCGCTTTCGCTCCCTGCGCGTGCTCGTCCGGGACGACGGGTTTGGTGGAAATCTCTCGCACCACAACAGTTTCTTCAATTTCAACTTCCGTCGTCTAAACACACACGCACGCACAGGCGCGTGGACACGTCGCGCACGCACACAAAATGAGGTGCGCGCACACACACCCACGCACGCACACACACAGCATGGGAGACAAAAACAAAAACAAAATATGATCATTGGACATAAAAGTGGAGGTGGGGGGAGGAGATGCAGAAAAGATGTTATCGGGGAAAAACAAAAAAAAGAACAGGACATATCGATGGACGTCGTGCGGATGGGAATCTGCACTGGATGGAAAAAGAAACGGAGTGAAGGTTAGAGCACCTTGATGGGTTCTTTGGTGTCGCTGTTATCCGCTGCAAAAGCTGCGGTTGATGCTGCATCTGTTACAGGCACCTGCATCTCTCACACACACACGCACACACGCACACACACACGCACACACACAGGCAGCCGTCGCACACGTCAATCACACGGCCAACTTTCACACGGCATAACATGGTCGCGCTGGCATGTTGTGTAACGCGTCATCGCAAAAAAACGCTGCTCGAAATCTTTCCATAACATACCCCAGACACTCGTAAAATGTACTGTGGATGAATTTAGAAAGCACATGTGGCCTTGGCTCGATAAATTGCTACGTGTGTCCTATACAGCATGTTGTAATAATTCATTTATTCATTTTATGAACCGGTTTATCCTCACAAGGGTCGCGGGGGGTGCTGGAGCCTATCCCAGCTGTCTTCGGGCAGTAGTCGGAGGACACCCTGAACCGGTTGCCAGCATATCGCAGGGCACACAGAGACGAACAATCATCCGCGCTCAAACTCGCACCGAGGGACAATTTGAAGTGTTCAATCAGCCTGCCATGCATGTTTTTGGAATGTGGGAGGAAACCGGAGTACCCGGAGAAAACCCGCGCAGGCCCAGGGAGAACATGCAAACTCCACACAAAATTATAAGCGCTCATGAATATGTCATTGTTACACTTTGAATTAAATTCCACACCGAGAAGCAGAAAATGTCTTCTGGTCCGACTAAAGAAGGAAGGAATAAAAATGTCCACTAAATACCGCATTGGCCCGAATATAAGACGGCCCTGTTTATAAGACGACCCCTTCTTTTTCCAGACTCAAGATTGAAAACAGACTTTTTGAACACCAAATTAATTTTTATACAGAAAATAATTACAGTACATGTGAAACAAATGCTTATAACAATATATTTGAAAGAAAAAGCATGTTATTTCTCCTCATTCAAATCTTAATATCTGAACATTTAAATATGTAAACTAAAGTGCAATCACATTCGTAAATGAATGACTTCTGGTTTTTAAAATGTAAATTACATCATAACTTTTCCTCAGCTGCCGATCTTCGACCCACTTTTCTCCAGATTGTCGCTACGTTTCTCCATTTTCTGTTATCTCTTCTATTATTTTCTTCTCTTTTCTTTCTTACCGCTATTTTTTATTTTTCTTCTTTGTGCTACCGCTATTTTTATTTTTATTCTTCGTGACAGGGGTTCACTTTGGCCTGGGGAGTCAAGTTTAGCATTCGCTTCAATGATATCTGGCGCCATCTAGCGTCGTGAATGGGTATAATGTCTAGACCCCGAATATAAGACGACCCCCACTTTTACAGTCTTATTTCAATGCAAAAAACATCTTATATTCGGGCCAATACAGTACTAAACGTGTGGAAAGTGGCGCGTTTCAGAGCAGATTTCGACATTATGTTGTGTACGAAACCGGAAGGGCCGGTCCGGACGGGACATACCGTTGTGGGCTGCTGAACGCGCGGGGTGGTGGCAGGAGAGGAGGTGATGCGCTTCTCCCACAAGTTGTGCTGCGGAGGGGAGGGAGGCGGCGCCTCCATAAAAGAGCGCTTGAGCTCGCTAACGCTAGCCTGGTGTTTCAGAACTTCCTCTTGGGTCTTATCATGGTCCTGATGTGAGGGGAGGGAGGGGAAGCAAGAGGGGGGGATGGAGGTTACGTATGGATGGAGGGATGTGGGTAGGGGGAGGGGGGCAATAAGATGGGAACAAGGAAGGAAGAAAGAGGGATGATGGGATATTTGGTCACAGGAACGTTAGGCTGTCAAGACAGACGCCAGATTTCACTGTGGCCTCGCAGTGACTTTTCAAATGAACGTGATGCTTGGCTTGCCACAGTGGTGGCGGTGATCATGTGCGCTGGCCAGAGTGGAAGCAGGGCATCCGCCATTTTCTTACAGTACATGGACTTTTCTTTCTTTGCATTGGAGGTGATCTTATGAAGGACTGCCCAAAACATCTGGATTGGTTGAGCTCCATTTCTGTCTGTTACTTTATTACGAATATATATTTTTTAAATTCATGAAATTTCTTGAATTTGTAGTGTTTATTTTGTCATCTTTCAAAAAAAAAAATCTAATTTAATGGTTTATAAAAATTACCGTTATAAACACTCGGAAACCACCAGAGTATTATTTGTGTCTAATTAAATTTTGTGACTCACATTTTCTTCCCTTACAATGTTTTTTTTTTAATTCAATTTTTTTGCATAAAATTTTCTGTATTTTGACTCGAATTTATGTCATAACCACCAAGAGTATTCTTCTTTTACATTTTCAAGCTAATCTGTTAATATGATCTTATTCATTAGAAAAATAAGGAACTTGGTCCCCCCCCCAAAAAAATTATATCCCCACTCCCCCCCAAAAATATATATATTTATTTTCTGGGGGGGCGGGGGAATACCAAGTTTCTTATTTTTGTAATCTAGCTAACATTTTGATGTACTTTTTTTATTTAAAAAAAAACAAAAAACAAAATTGCACGACAAATGATTGGCACCTCATATGTCTCGCCTTCTGTCTCCGACTTTTCGGTCAGATGGGATTGACACACAAATTGGGGCTGGAGATGGCTGACTTTTGAACAGGTTATATTTTTCAAGTATGAACAATTATGAACAAAAAAATCATTCATTTATTGCTAAATATACCGCAAATACAGGGGATCAACAGCAGCAAAATGGTGTTTTTCTTTCTTTCATTAGAAATTACCTGAGCCACATTATTATTGGATTATGCAACAACTACTAAACCATTTTCCATCATAGTTTGAGGCTAATCCTAATCATTATTTTTTTCTCATCGGAAAAGATGGTTGGTATTTATGTCGGTCCAGTATGTGAACCAATTCAGGATGCAATGAAGCACTTCTACTTTTCTATGCTGCGTTGGCCTTCACGATCACCTCCATGTTGCAATTGTGGTTGTATTAGTTTGGTTAGCAAACCGCATATCACTTGATAATCATCAGACAGCAAGAGGAGGGAGGTTTCCTCCTGCGGGCGGGTTACTGAGGCAGGGTTAGTCGGGGTAGGCAGGCAGCAGTCATCAAAATCTTCAACTCAAAAAAAAAAAACATTGCAGTCCACGGGGTCGGAACAGCATTCCTCGTGCGCGGTTCGTGCGCAACGGTCCGTTCACAGTGCAGCCATTGCGAGGACTTAGCCTGCTTGGTGTGATGTATACATTCAAAGCAGAGGTGGCAAATTTTTTTTGTAAATAATAAAAAGTAAAAGTAGATTTTTTTTCCAGGATTTCTACCATTAGCAGCAATCTTAAGGATTGAATATATCAGTACCTCAACGTGTGTACAAATTGCGAGTACCGTATTTTCCGCATTGTAAGGCGCACCTAAAAGCATTCAATTTTTCCAAAAGCAGACAATGCGCCCTATAATCCGATGCGCCTTATATATGGTCTCACAGTCTCTTTATATTTCCCAATGAGATGTTTCCCTGTTCGTGTTCCTGTTCCATCTTGTGGCGATTACTAGCAGGAACCAGTTGTAACCTAAAAGGCGTTCTGCCCGACACTAATTGACATGTGCATTCGCCAACACACACTCCAACAGACTCAAAACTACTTTGTGAGCAGTGCGCAGCCATTATGAAACAAAGATCATACCAAAATTATCGTGAACTACTGACTAAACGAAGGAAGAAGGAGACAAGCAAGACTTCTAAGTGGGTGTAAGCCCACGAGCTTTGTATGCCTTTTTGTATTTCTGTTTCATGTCAATTTTTTTGTGACCAGTTCTCATTGTTACAGCTGCAGCCGTTGTGACGGCTCTATATCAATAAGGCTGTATTGTATTCCCTTTAGTGTAGCACCATCTAGTGGATTCATAGCGCAACCGCAGCCACTATTACGGCTTATGTGCCTTATAATGCAGTGCGCCCTACAAATGAAAACAAAATTAAAATAAGCCATTCATTGAAGGTGAGCCTCATAATCCGAAGCGCCTTATCGTGCAGAAAATACGGTACTTTTGTCACCTCTGATTCTAAGCCGTAAACCACTTCGCCATTTGCACATCTCCAAGTGAAGCTGTCCAAAATGGCCACCTCGTGAATTGCAGACCATTGCACCCTGCGACGTGCTCGCAACGCTGACGTGTTTGACAACGGTCGCGGAGAGGGACGGCGAGCATGCAAACGAGAGCCTGCCGGTGCGGCTGAGAGAAAGGGAAAGCGGTGCGAGTCCGCTGCAATCGAGCGCCAGGCAAAGCCGCCGGTGGCAAGCACACAACAAAACACCGCACGCTCTGATTGTTGGCTCTCAATTGCACGACGCGGAAGTACCAACCTCTAACATCAAATTACTGTGCCTCACATAAATATTATCCACACGCACTCTCATTGGACTCTGGAAGGTGGACATACAGCACAAATAGAAACCAAACGTGATTAAACAAATGAATAGCAACAAAAGAAGCCGATTAAAAACCCCAATTGAAAGGAAGACATTTTTTAAAATAAATGTGGAAAAACAACCATCAGTTAATAAATGGGGAGGGAAAAAAAAGTCTACATTTAAAGTAAATAAACATTTCATGTGAACAAAAATAAAAACGCACAAAAAAGAAAAGAAAAAAGCAACACCACCTCAAACTGCAGTTGAATGAACTTGAATGGAGCACTTGCGTGAAAACACCTCAATGGCAACAGACCACAAAAAAAAAAAAAAAACCCACAAACAGAATTTCACCCACTCCAAGCACACGTAAAGGTGCAGCATGCGACCAAAACGGAAGGTCAAAGTGCCCACTTGCGACCAATTTTGCCCCTTGGGACCCATTCTGCAATTTCAACGAGTCACACATACACATTTTTTAAAAAAAAAAGCCACAGATGTTCATCAAACATTAAACTTTTGCTTTCTAGATTGCAGGAGTGGGTCCGGAATGCAAAAAATGATGTCATCATGCCCCCCAAAACAACCTCAAATTCAAGCGTCAACACAAAGCGAGCAATCACCGCACACTTGAACGAATTCTGAAAACACACTCCGCAAAGCATGCTGGGAAGAGACAGCCCCTCCCACTACAGACCTGGGCGGGCGGGGCTTCCACACGGCCGGGGTTCGAATCCGCCTCCTCAACCTTGGGCATCGTTGCCATAGCGATAAGAGAATGGAGATTGGAGGGGCGCGGAGAAAGTCAAAAAATAAAATGAAATGGATGATGGGAAAATATGTTTTGAGTTCATGAAGTGCACGAGCTAGCTCGGCCGCGAAGGCGTAAATAAGGCGTCGCTTGAGCTCCACTACAGCACAAAAAGCAACATAAGTACATGACTCCACTTTGCTCATACCTTTACAGTGCAATTCCAATTTGTACGGGCAACAACGAAAATGTAAGCACGTTTCCGCGACATGACAAGTGCAATTAATCTAATTTGGGCTTCGATTTGTCGCGATGTACAGCGAAGCGCTCGGCGCTGTGTTCGGTCATCGCTCCAAAGGTCGTGAGGCAAAAAGGTTGTTACAATACAATAATTTCCTTCGTGTTGCCTTGTTAAAATACTTAAGTATAACAAATCTGTCACTATTAACTATTTGATTTTTTTTTTTTTAATTACATGAATGTTTTAACATTAAAAAATAAATTTCCACGCGCGCGCTTAAAATGTGGCTTTTTTGGGGGTAATCGTATAAAAATGGCAAAATACTTGATTTAATATGAACATTTCCAAATTCTTCACTTATTTTGAATTCAGCGAATGAATGCTTGCAATTTTATAATATATACCTATTTTTCAAAAATATTTTCCTGCAAAATGAAAAATGAGAACTCAAACAAGACCATATAATACGTTCGAGAAGACAGTTAATGTTACGTTACTCTCGAACAGGGGTGTCAAACTCATTTTTGTTGCGGGTCACATTGTGGTGACGGTTTCCCTGAGAGGGCCAGTATGACTGTGAATTTTGTAAAGCCGTATAAATGTTTAATCACCTCCACATATTACATATTCAGTGCACAACAAATTGGTGGATAACTAGTTTTGAAATCAGGAGTCAAGAATAATGGTTAGTCCAGCCATTGATTACGTGAATTTAATAAGTACATAATGAGATAATGCTTGCAATATCTCTCTGTAATGATGGATTAACATATGACAATTTTACATTTTGGTTGAGACTTGAGCAAGCATCATGGAAAAATTGACAAGCCTGATTTGCTCTCGCGGGCCATACAAAATGATATGGCAGGCCAGATCTGACCGCCGGGCTTCGGGTTTGGCACCTGTGCTCTAGAATGTATGACAGCCTCCGTGATGTACTGAAGCGTTAAGTTTTTCATGGATATTTTGCTTGACATAATATGTCAGCTTTACAGATGCCGCCTTCGCCCCGCAGGAGGTGTGGCTCCCGCTATTGGCCAATCATTTTTTACATTTTTTTTGTTTAAACACATCAGCGATCCAAGTAAATTTTTTTTTTTTTTTTAGAATAATTGGATGCGCTGCTTCCGAATCTGGCTTGCCTTTGGTTCGGTTTTTTTTTCTCTCGTACAACAGGTTTTCATAATTCTACTGCTACTATTAATAATAATATAACATTAAGATAATATGAAATATAGTCACATATTTCGTAAATATTTATGAATGAAGGGTTAGGTTCAGCGACAGGTGGATTTTCTTTCTGAAACGTCATCGTCGCGAATTACCACGGGTGGTCAAATCCGCATTGGGCAAAGTTTTACAGGTCCAACTTAAAAACAAAAAAAAAACTCATGGACCTGATGTGCTAGAAAAATGTCCAAAAAAATATATATATTTTTTTTAAATCAACGTTGAGGGGACACATAAATTCACCCCCGATCCAAATTTTGTATTTGAGCACGACTAACTAATGAGCGCCGCAAAGTTACAATCCTTTGCTTCGGCGTCTACTGTTACTCTCCTTTACTATTCTAGTCTACTGTAATCAGAATATCCTTATTATTTTAAATTTTCTATGGAGCATTATCAACTTCAAAGTGAGCTTGACGGTAAGAGTAAAAAAAGGGAAAAGCAGAAAAAAAATGATAGCTCAGCAGGTGCAAAACAATAGAACGAAACAAAACGGGTATGCCAACGGGTATGCGAGCGTCTACGCGGCGGGATCGCACATCTCCTGCGTCCTCGTGTGGCGCCTGACGCACGGGGGGGTGTCCGAGGGGAAGGGGGCGCCCCGTTTGGGGGGACGCTCCTGGCCCGGGACCCTCTGGCGGCTGGAGACCAGCCTCTCCAGGTAGCACAGCGTCAGGCCGAGAGGAGCGGCCAAAATCAAGGCCAGGATGAGGGAGCGGCTGGCCGTGAACATGACGGCCAGCAGGAAGGCCACCAAGAGGCAGGGCAGCAAGAGCGGGGAGGGTTTGGAGAGGCAACTGCGGAGCGATCGGCCGTCGGGGCGGGAGGCGAGCGCTGCGGGTGGAGGTGGAAGGTTGCTACAGGTCGTGAGCGAAGGGGGTGGAAGGTGAGGGAAGGAAACGAGAGGCAAACAAGGCTGCGTGCTGGAAAATCTCGCCTGTAGCTGAATCAACTTGGAGGTTATCGTGTGTTTAAATTGACGAAGTCTTGACAGAGCGGCCACACTTCGGGCCCTTGTGATGATAAAAATCTTCACTCTGTGAGCCGACTTGCAAACTAACGCAACCAGCCTCCCCGTGGCAGCCCAAACGGCAAACGGCTTCCTCTTGGCGCTCTTTTCCAACACGGAACGGAAGCTAAGCACGAGAAAAACGTATCTCGCCACGTCTCTCAGCGAGCGCCACCTGCCGCGTCCCTCAGCCCCGCCGCCTTCGCCCTCCGAGTCCGCAATGTCCGAGGCCCGCGCCCGAGGGCGTGTCGCGGTTGGCGACGCGGGAGGCGTCCGTTTGTACGCGAGCGCTTCCGCGTCAGGGGCGGCGCTTAAGGCGGCCGCCTCGTGGTGCCCGTCGTCGGCGAGGTCGCCGTCCTCGGAGATGTCGGACAGGCCCCGCTCCAGCTCGGAGATGGAGTCGAGCGACGGCGGGATGGAGGAGAGGGAAGATAACGACGAGAAAGAAAGAGGGAACATGAAGATGGACTGATGGGAGGAGAGGCGCATGTGACGCGTGGGAGTAAAAAGTCAAGATGTGTCCGAAATAAGCATGCAAGAGTGACGAAAAGAGTGAGTGGAGGGGGAAAAAAAAACAGACAGGGGGAAAGGGGTGGGAAGAGACAACATTAGTGAACAACAACAGCACAAAAAGAAGGTTAAACATGAGCACAGCAGGATAGATCAGTGCACAGTGCAGCAGTGGCCGGGCTTCCTTCCCAATATGCAAATGAGAGAGCACCCACCACATGAATATGCAAGCGGGGGCATAGTATGGGGCGACTTTGAAATTGCTTCGATACAAACAGTTGAGTCTCTAGGGTGCCTGCCCGCTCGTCTCGTGTGAAATTCCACAATCGAGTCGACATTTTGACAGCTGCCCGTTTCTGAAAATGTGGCTGTGAATTTCATGATTTGCCAAAGTGGCGAAAGCCTGAGTCTGCTATAAAATGAATTCATCGAATATAATTTCTTTATTGGTCTACTTTTCACTGCCAGTGTTCAATATTCTGGAGAGGATACTCAATTTAAGATGAACTCATTCACTCCCAAAGACGTTTTTAAACGTCTTTTCAGACTTGGTCCAGAATTGGCTGGGAATGAGTTAATATCAGCTGCATAAAAATTACTATTTTTTTACTTTATGATGACCACATTTTAGTTACACATCTACGGGTCAATATTGCTTAAAAAGACAGGATGCAATTTTCTTCAAAAAAAAAAAAAAAAAAAAAAAAGAAAGAAACGAATAAATGCTGAACCTATAAAACTGCGCTGTTGCAGTGAAAAATTTGGGTGCACCTAATTTTGTGGTGGTGCACCCACAAAAAAAAAAAAAAACAACAACAAAAACAAAAACAACCAAACAAAACACAGTTGGGCACACCAGAGGAACCGGCGCAAAACGTGGTTCTCCCCCTTCTTCTTTAAATGCTTACAAGGCTTACTTTGTGGGCAACTGGAGCTAAAAGTTTGGAATCAAAAGGTGCATCTCAGTCCATGGATGGAAACCCGACTTCTGTCAAAAGGAGGCAACCACTGAAGGAAACCTAAAGTTAGACGTCGACTGCTGGAAAGAGTGCTGAATGCGAGTGTTTGGAGTTGGGAGGGAACCGTAAAAGTGAGAAAGGGGGAAGTGGGTGGTTAAATAGGAGACATGCACAACCAATATGGACCACGGATTCACTGTGAACTACAACCCCCCC